ATTTTGAAATATGTATACCTTGTGCAATGGATAAATTAAGTTAAATAACATGTTACCTCGCATACTTTTATTCTGTGGTTAAAACACTTAAAATCTAATCTCTCAGCAATTTTTGAGAATATGATACATTGTTATTAACTATAGTCACCATGTTGTACAATAGTCCATTTAATTCCACCTAATTTCATTTTAAAGCAGGTGGATTTTCTTATTACATGTGCAATAGAAATAATAAATCTACGTCCATTAGGAGATAAATAACTTGGCTGTGATCATATAACCAGGTAATTGAAGGAATTCATACTCCCTAAGATTAATGTAGCCTATTTAGCAATACTTAACAGTGGAGTTTTGAGCTTTATATTTATTTGTTTCTAGTATCTCTGAAATTAGAAACTTTTTGTATTTTATTGAAAGAAGTTAAAATTCATATATATATACTTATACTTAAAACAATGAAACTATCAAGAAAAATTATCCTGATGTAAATATTTAACTGACTAGGTTGCAGCAGACTCTTTTTTTGTGTTTCGAGACATAGAACATTATCATGTGAGTGAGTCATGACCCACTTAATATATGAAATGTGAACTTTAGAAAATAAAGCAAACTAAAAAGTCTAGTCCCATCGTTAATTTAAAATTTAACATGCTAGTTTTCATCAAATCCTGTTCAAATGCTAAAAAAAAAAAAAAAAACAAAGCTTACACAAACAAACAAAAAATAAGGGTATCTACTCTGTTCTTAGTGTTCATCTGCATTTTTAATCTTTTTGTGAAAGACCAACTTTTTTTTAACAAGTTATGTCTCTCTGATCACTATCTTGTACACAGAAATTATTCTGTGCGTCAGTCTCTGGAGGGATTCTGGTAATTCATTCACAGTTCTATTTTGTGAATAGAATAGTTCTATTTGTTTGTCCACTTGGGAAATATCTAGCACATAAATCCTTTCTGCAGGATAATTCATACAAAAAAATATTCAAAGAATGAATGTCCTTAAACATCATTGGCTGTGCTAGTAATTATTAGATCGCTGACACTTCAAGGTAATATGAAACACAATGGGACATATTATGAATGTAACTGTCAATCTAGATCCAAATCCCTGTGACTACTTCCTTTCTCTAGTCAATTAATTACTAAATTGCATGTCATTTG